CGGGGCCGCGCCCGCCGCGCGGCCCCCGCGGCGCGCGGCGCCCGACGCGCGCGCGGCGATCCTGGAGGGCGTGCGCGCGAACCACTCCTGGAGCCTCGACAACCTCGACGCGCTCCACGGCGAGCCGCCGGCGCCGCCGTCGCTCAAGGCGCGCGGCGACGCGCTCCTCGACGGCGTCTTCCGCGGCCTCGGCGCGCGGCGCCGGCGGTCCAATGAGCCGCCGGCGAAGCGGCTCCCCTTGGCGCGGGGGCGCCACCAGGCCGCCGCGCCCCGGGCGCCGGCGCCGGACCCGGCGAGGCAAACGCCGGCGCCGCGAGCGCCGGACCCGCGGCGCGACCTCGCGGCCCTCGACGCGGCGCGGCTCGCGGCGCGCGTCGCGGGCCTCGGCGCGGCCTACGGCGCGGCGGCGCCGGGCCTCGAGTCCCACGGCTGCGACGGCAAGTTCCTCGCGTCGCTGCCGCACCGGGAGCTCGACGAGACCCTCGCGGACCTCGGCTTCGACCGCCTCATGCGCCGCCGCATCTACTTCGACCTCGACCTCGACGTCGCCCCCCTCGACGCGCCGAACAAGGAGCCGGGCTAAGCGTGGGGGTCGAGAGGCGGCGGCTCGAGAAGCGGCAGTGCGAGGCCGAGGACCGACTTCCACGGGCGACGCGCGGCGAGGCCTGCGGCAAGGCGAATTGCAACTTGAAGGCGCCGAGAAGCCGCCGCTGTCGAGAGCCTTGAGCGCAGTGGTCGCGCGCATCGCTGCGCCGCGCCGAGCCGACGGACCGCATCGGCGCGCGCCGCGCGGAGCGATGCGCGTCGCGGTCCTGGTGATCGCGGCCTGCGTCGCGCCCGCGGCGAGCGCCTGGCCGTCGTGGCTGCGGTTGCCGCGGCGCGAGCAGCGGGACCGCAAGGTGAGCCGCGTGCTCGAGCACTTCAAGAACGGCGAGTACTACGGCGCCCTCGGCGCCAAGCCCAAGGACACGCCGCAGCAGCTCAAGAAGGCCTACCGGGCCATGGCCATGGCCGTGCACCCGGACAAGGTCGCGGACTCGCGCGCCGCGAGCGCCTTCGACG